ACTGAGAAGTTGGTCATCAAACATAATCTACCTATGCAAGGAATTCTTGTGGTCCAACTACCCAGCTATTAAAAGCCACGTGATCTCCGTTCTCTTCCATTTTACAGACTACATTAACCACAAACATTTCATGTCATACAATTTCATTAACCCTAATGCCAGCAAACGTCTGCAAAACAAGCTCTCTCTTCTTTTTGAAGGATTCAGCTAAGGATTCAGCTCTCCATGTACTAAGCCATGCTCTGGAGCACCATCTCGGACAGTTCTGCTTGTCCAAAACAAAACCATACAATGAAGGCAATAATGGTGAAGCATGGAGAAACGGGCAGGAGGTCAGAGCTTCATGGCCACCACGTGGCGAGCGAGCTCTTCCTGTAAGCACACCAGGATGGTAATCCTGAACATGAACTCTGAGCCTGAAATGCACTCTCCCCCCACTTTGTTTCTCTCAGAGTAGCCAATGTGACAGCATCTTTCTGTCATCAGGTAAATAGGAAGACCTACCCAGCACACAGTTAACTACCTGCCTGCTCAGCAGCTCCTGTACTGAAAATACTACAGGAATATGCACTACATACATAAAAATACTATGGACACCTGGCTTTGTCATCATTCCACAATACGTCTGTTAATATCGTAACTACAGTAAACCATAGATTGCCTTCTGGATTTTTTTCAGATTTTCTTTCCCAAGGGATGATAAGAAGTAATCTCCCTGTTGTTACAAATGTTTTATTTTGAAAATAAAGCTTTTATGCATATTTTAGTTGATCTAAATACAGTAGATCTTGGGTTTTTAAATCACCAGATAATATGCAATTATCTCGAGCTAGATTCTGATTTTGAAACAAGCTCTAATTAGCTCCCCATTTTATCCTGCTATAATCCTTTCTTCAACTCCCATGAGTGTTACTATTGCTAAGCAGCATGAGGTTAGGAATGATGGATGATACCCAGAAAGGAAGACAAACAAAAGGGAAATTCAAAATCCCCTGAGATCACCCGCAGCTGTATCGGCAAATGAAGATTTCCACATTAGGTCATAAGACGACCCTTACAGAAACACATACCAAAAAGGCACGTCTTTTTCCCACTGAGTATTTGCAAGTCTTTAATGTAGTATATAGAGAGTATATGTCCTTCACAGAGGATAAATACAGAAGTGAATAAAAATGCAGCTTTCCTGGGAGTAGCTATGAAATCAACAGCACCAAAAAAAGCAACTTTGTCTTAATGTCATATAGATGCTCAGTACAGACATAAGACCCCAAAATAAAACAAACTACTAAGGGCTCTATACAGTACAACTATTTAGAAAAATAGCTGAGCACGTAAACCTTCTTCTGGCACATGGCTACTGGCCAAACCCAACCCAGCTCTGATCATCAGTAATGCAACTAAATAAGGGCCAAATTCATCATGAAAAAATGCTGATGCACTTGGGTGACACTAATTCAACTTTTTTTTCCATGTGATTTGGTCCGTGCTTTTGACACATAAATCATTAAAAAGGCAGATTTACCCAAGGGCATTAGAGCATTTAGGTGGAAAGAAATACACAGAAAAAATATTAGAAAAGGCACAGTGATACTATTTTTGACCACCTAGGGTACAGACACCATTTTTGTGTAAAACACGTTCATTGAAACTTGCACAAAATCACCAAAGCCTTGATGAAAGGTCAGAGGCAGAAAATACATACATAGATATATTTTATGTATATATGGTTGTCGTTTTGGTACAGTTTTTTTTTTTTGAAAATTCACAAATACAGCTTGCAAAGAGGAAAAATGAGCCTGGCTACTCTTTGCTATCTCAAAATACATACATACATATATATATATATATAATGCTTATCCATTCACCCTTACATATAAAAGACTGATGGGTCCATCTGTCCACGTGTGACAATGGAAAACTACTGGAGAAAAGAACAGATTTTCATGAATGAGGTGTTAATCAAAACCTTATGATCTAGAAGTGTAACTAACTGGGTCAGAAATCCAGAAAATCTTGCTAGTTTGATAGAACAGTGCCAAATGGTAATGAAAATACTCACAGCTAATAAAAGTTTGAGACGTTACTATGCATGTTGACACTCTGTGCACTGAAGACCTTCTTGGCAAGGCACTCAGGAGCCACTGAACGCATTAGTTTAATTTCACTTCTCTCCCTTCATGCATTCAACAAGTTCCAAGCCAATTATATTACATGGAAAAGGCTCCAGACCTTTTCTCGTTTTAGAATTGTTCTGATTAATTTCTGTTTTAAAATTACAAGTATGCAACCTGTTCTGCCTTGATTTTCCTGGGAAATGTCTCAGAAGACCAGAAAATGGGAGCGCTTTTTTTTTTTTTCCCTGCCCTGGAGTGGAGGATCTTTCACAAATGCATAATTATTATTACCTTTTCCAAACTGTTTGCTGCGCTTTTAATTACAGAACAGCTGCTAATAAAAGGAAATTACCAAACTGCCCTTCCTCATTCAAATAACTTGGTTTCGCTCTTTTGTTCTGCGCGGTGTCACAACCTTCCTTATTCCTTTACAGAGAGAAAGGCACCGAGAAAAGAACGTCTTGTACGACAATTTTATTTTTAATCATTGGAAAGGAGGAATAAAAGGGCATGAGCCCATTTTCTCATTTGTAAATCTGCTTTAAGGAAAGAAGGACGGCAATCATCAATAATATGATTTTTTTGAGCTAATAGGAACGTGTCACCTCACAAAAGGTTAGCTCAAGGGCAGGAACTGACAAACGAGATTGGGAGTGTGGGAGGGGAGCAAAACATCACGGCAGCAAAACTGAACTTCCTGAAGGAAATCACTTTCAGCTACCCGCGATCCCCACGGGAATCTGTAAGGTGGTCGGATTTTAATACTATGGGCCTGTCTTTCAATCTTTTATAATTACAGTTAGTCATAAATATGATGATTAGCAATAACAATGCAGCCTTTTCCCAGCTCCTCTGATTTCAAATTCCTCTTAAAATGGCTACAATTAATTACTCATATTTTCCATGCTGTCTTAGGCATTTATAACTGCAACAGTTACTCTTGCACAGTATTGATGCTACAAAAAAGTAGTCAATGGCACGCTTTTAATGAACAGCAGCATATAAAACAGCGCAGGAAATTTCCATGTTTGCTAAATGCTTGGCTATAAGTAACAATAGCCCTATGATTGCAAATAATTTTTTCCCATTTTGGTTTTGTTTTCACAGCTTGTTTTTACCAGGGGCATTTATTTTATTTTTTTTTTGCTTTTATCTATTTATTTTCAACTGTTCTTCTTAAGAAAAATGTGGGCTGAATATCATCATCACGGATTTTCTTCTAGTAAAATCTTTTTGAATGCAAAATAGTTTCCCAGTAGAGAGAAAAAGCAGTTTGGTTGGGATACTCAGAATAAACCTAGCAAGCTCCAGGAAATAAAAGAGGGTTTCCGAATGGCAGAAAGGTAGAAGAAGAGCACAACCCATCCTTCTCTGTACCCTGAAATGCAGTAATTCTCCAACACAGGGCACTGGCTGGAAGCACAGAGCAGGGCACAAGTATTTTTCTAGAGTACCAAACAGCCCGAGTGGTTTACGTCAGTTAAGCACATCGTTGGTAAAACGTCTGTGTGGGTAGAGTTTGGTATCTAACAGCAGGAACACAGCTGTTCCGTTCCAGCCTCCTTCCTATCCTGTGGCCATCTTCTAAACCCTTTAGCAATTCACTTCTCTCTGACACTCAGCTTTGCTGCATCTGCTTTTTTTTGCAAACGGAAAGGGGAGGGAGAAAAAAAGGTCGGCTTGGAATATTTAACGAAGCTTGAAAAAGACAGACATAAGGTGGGTCTTTTCCCCACCTTCAAATTAACAAAGCAGATTTTGTGCAAATGCAAGTGGAAAAAAAAATATGCCAGCGAGTAAGGCAGCTGGAGTATGTAGATCACGTTACAAACGAAAGGCTTGTTTTACAGCCATTGTCACATGTCAAGTTGATAAGCTGAACTATGGTAAAAAAAACCCTACAGAGCCAATGATCTCTAAGATCAGACAGAGTCTCTTTACCTAATGTATGCAGCTAAATATGTGTACTCCCTACATCTGCCATAGCAACAAGGAGAGAACGAGGAATTAACGGTGTTAATAAAAAAATTGAAGGGTCTCCTGTATGATACAACAAAACGCGAGAAACCTCTCGGCATCAAAGCAAAAGAAACGTAACAAAAGCACAGAGAATTATTTCAGAGCAAATCATTGAAACCAGCTGATTACCTGAGCTCGCACATCCCTGCTGTAGGGAATCCTGCAATGATGTCACAGAGTGAAGGACTAGATAAGAGAGAGAGGAAAATCAGGGAACAATAAAAGGAGATGCCAAACCACAAACTAAACAGTAAGCAGGCTCAACAAATAGCAAACCGCTTATCTCGGCAAAGGCACGCTGCTCATTTAAGTCCGTGGCATTATAAGGGTACAACCGAGGCCAAACTCTAGTCTGGCCTGTCTGTATCAATAGGTATTAGGATAAGAGAGAGCCACAATAAAGCGTAATTGCAACACGGCATTCCCCCTTTAAAGCTGAGTTCTTCTAGCTCACCTCCTGAAGCAATCGATATTCTCCTTGGAACAATAAAAATCCCCTACGCAACCCTAGAAAACAGCGCACAGGATTTTTCCAGCTCTTTGGCCAAAATTTTTTGAATTACGTATCATATTCATGCCTAGATAATATCATCCTAATTAGGAACTTGATAACTGCTGCTTATTGATTACACACAAACGAGTGCTTTGTTCGTAAACATTCCCAGCATGTGTGTGTTCCCCCCTCCCCACCCAGGACCGGCTGGGCTGCGAGGGTGGACGCTGCCACTTCCAGTAATGCCTGGACTGGCACTGGGCGCATGTCCCGCTTACTGCAAATTTAATAAAAAAAGAAAAAAAAAAAAAAGGAAAAAGAAAAAAAAGATTTCCTCCTCCTCAACTCAAACAACATAGTGGAATTTTAATTACCTTGTCCTTGTTGCTGCCCTTGTGCAGGCAGGACACACTGTCCCAGCTCACCATTCAACCAGAGCTGCATACGAATAAATGGTTCTCGGCCTTTTTGGGTCAATTTACTCCATGGCTTTGGCCTGGAGAGCATGTCACTGACACTTCCTTGGGACAGCCCCAATACCTGAAGTGAAGCAACCAAGAACGGCACGTTAACACATTTGATGTGGAAGGGGGGGGTAACTGAAGTCACTTTGGTTTCCTTTACTGCTACATCGCTCAAATCGTTTTTATATGGACAATTAGTAAAACTGCAACACGACAGCTTTAGGTCACGGATGGAAATGCTTTCCTCCTGCCGTGGTTTCCTTCTGGAGCGTGGGTTTTTTCCTGCAGGAACGGAGCGGCAGCGCAAACGGCAAAAGGATGGCGCGAGATTTGCATGCTTTTCATATTTTGTGTCAAACAGTTTCATTAGTTCTAACAGGAAAAACACCGAGTCCAGGCACACGCAGGCAGATAATGAAATGACTGGCATGTATTTTGTTCTCAAACAAAAATAATCGGGACTTTGGAGACTAGGCCTATATTTGGTTGATTTTTTGGGGGTATGAATTACAACGATGTGTGTTTTCACCTGTAGCAGCGGCTGCTCCACGTAAGTAAATATTTAAGAATACAGCCGACCGCAGCAGAAGGGGAATTTCAGGCAGGCAGAATGCAATTACTTCCCAGGAATTCAGCACAGGTACAGGGGTTAAAAATCATCCTTAATGAAAGCTGCCATGGGATCTTTAATGACCCCAAGAGGTCAGGCTTTTCATTTTACATCTTAGTGAAAAGGTAATAGCGCAATGCCAGCTCCTATTATACTATTATATTGATTTGATTCTTTATAGGAAGAAGAAACACCAGATGCCCACCACTTCTCATGGCCTGGGAAGTGGTTTCTGGTGTTTCCCCCCCGTTCCCAAAATCCCACGTGTGCAATGCTTAGGGCCCACAACGTGAGAACTTCAGAAAGCCTTATCTTGCATCGCATATCTCTAATCAAACATTGCTTAAAAACGCCTCAAAGCACACTAAGATACCAAGCACCGGGTATAACAAATGACTGTGAATTCTTGACTTAAGACTAAGGAGAGGTAGGGGATTTTCTGCGTGTTTGTTTAAATACCCTCGTGCCCATTTCCAAATATTAAAAAAAAGGAAAAATGCTCTTGTGTCCATAATCTTCACTTATAACAAATTTAAGACTCTCCAGTCATGACAATGGTATTACTCAAATATTCCATGAATTCACCACATTAAGCATGAAACACTGAGTCTCAGTAACGTTTGCTTCAGGTTTCGATGTTTCTGAACTTGGGGGTCCCATTGCTAATTACAAGTGGCTGAAGCCAATCTTTGTGTAACAACCTACGCAATTCACAAAATACAGGAAAACTAACACTTTCCTTGGTGAATTTACTTTTTAAATACTTAACATAGGAAGCAAAAACATTTTTCCGTAAGACAGATGTGGCACATCCCCCTCCGTTAAACTGAGCTCCGTACCAAGGTAAGGAGCAGAATGCACATTCACAACGCTGGTGTAACAAGAGAGAACCAGTTCTTTACCTTTTCCCCAAAGATCCTTTGGCAGATGCCATTCTTTGCTAGCTTTTCTTTGACCTGCCGCGTTAGCTCTATCGTATCCACTTCCTGGTACATATAAATCTCATACTGCTCGGGTGTCAGTGGAGGAACCGAAGGTTTGGATGGCTTTGACAAAGACACGATAGGGGATGAAGGGAGGGGGCTATTTTGTGGTGTCTCACTGCGACTCGCCCCAGTCATGCTCAATTCAGAACTCTGGGAGTACGGAGATTCAGCGTTTGGCCACGCTTTCCAATACTCTGAAGAAGATGGTCCTTGGAGCTGGCTACGATCTGGCCTAGTCTGATTGCTGACCTTTTCTTTTCCACCACTGGCTTCCTCAACTTTTATATCTTCGGGAAGAGCTGTATTTCTTCTCTCATGCTGCACAGTATTCCACCAATGGTCCTTCCAAACACCACCACGTCCCAACTCATTTTTAACATGCCTCAACATACCCTGGGTGGAATCACTTATTCCATGAAGCTCTAAAACAGGCGCCTCCTGAGGCTCCTTTTTGAGCCCAGAGAGGTTCTGCAATGCAGAGAGACTGGAATCAGTGACAGATGAATGTTTCTTCAGGGATATGGCCAAAGGAGAATAGCCGGAAACCGAAGACATTGCAGGTGTAGATACGGGTTTGGGGGACAGGATAGAAATGTCAGCTTGAGATAAAGGTGGTGTTTTTAAGGCAGGTTCAAGGGCAGCCTGCTGTGCCTCCATTTCGCGTCGGGCTTGTTGCAGAATGGATCGAATAGCATCATCAGAATTGCCACTGCTAGATGCAGAAGGCGGCTGAGCCGGCTCAGCTATGAAAAACAACCAAAAGACTAAATGCAACAGAGGAATAGGCTTCATATTCAACATGTGCTACTGTACATATTTCCCTGTCAGAAAAAGGGCTGCAATACATTTCTGGATGGGAGGGAGAAGTTTTCACTAAGCAAAGATTTGCACTTTTCAAAATAAGGTTAAGATTTCCAAAGTTCTTCATTGGAAAATTTTTATAGTTGCCAAAGTGCTGGACATTTGCACGCACAGACTCAACTGCAGAAGTCTCGTACTACTTGCGCATTTTCCACCATTGTAAAAATTTTCAAATAAATGCCTTTGAAAATCAAGCCTTCACCTCTTCCTCCCCCACCCCCAAGTGGTCAATAACATTTTATGGTTCTATTTACAAGGTTATTTAACCTTTCGCTTCTATCTCCACAAATGAATCGTAACACACACTCAAAACTGAACACAGCTGCATTCACCTGGACAGACTATTAATACCCCCTTACAATATAAATAAGGTGAGTCCTTCTAACTCCAAAAATATAACACGCCAAGTACAAGAAAGCAAGAACTTCAGTAAGAGACTTCATTATTTCATTTGACAGGCTAAATACGCTCCTGCTTCCTGTTTTCTTGTTCCATGGCCCCAACCACTGAAATAAACAGCTCTACAAAAATCAGGCTGCCGCCCCGCCATCACTCTCGGCCTTTCCTGAAGCCCTAGAATGGAGCCACAGGTGCTCTCAGAAGAGGTAACACCTAAATGCAGTATTTCAGTGGTGAGCCAGGACTCGTGTGGCTGTGCTGCAGCAGGCGGGGATGAGCAGAGACTCAGGGGTGCAGAATTATCTCTGCAGGGCCAGGAGGTTTTTTGCAATGGCATCTGTTTCCATTTAAGTTCACCTCCACTGAGGTCCCCAGTGCCTGAAAATCAATTCCTCTGAAAGCTACTCTACAAAGAATGGGGAAAGTGAAGCACTAGATTGGAACTGGGAACCCATAAACTGCGAGAAGTGGCCTCAAAGTGAAATAAGATTTGACACACGCTGCGTATTATTCTAGTGATATTATGCCTCATCTGAATACATTTCCGAATTTGCCTCCCTGCATTCCTTCCTGTCACACACTGTAAAACACGTGAAAAGCTAAGAAATGGGAAAAAAGACAGTGGGACTATCTCGTCTATCTACTGGTTTCATAGGGAGTTTTGAGGCTGAATTAATATATGAAAGGAAGTCTGAGATTCTCAGATGAAACATGCTATTGAACAATGTGCTTGCAGTTTCCTGCACACAGCCCATAATTTTCTCTATGTAATCACTACTTGTAGAAAGTCATATTATTTAAATCGTATATTAACTAGTCTTTTATATGTTGCCATGAGATTAGCATAGTTTTCATTTAAAAGACAGCTATCCAAAATGGTAAATCAGTATTTACTTTAAAAACCGAAACAAAAGTATTGCGCAATTCTTTCGACTTCAGCATTAGCCCTTTAGCAATACTGGAAACTCCTTTACAGTTGGGAGGGCTATGGAGTAGACAGAAATGTTAACGACACGACAGCATACAGTAAGAAACTAAACTCATCTTGGGCTAAGATGTTAAACTAACGATCTTTTTGGGAAATGAAATGCTTTTTGGATTTGCCAGTTCATTCACTGAATACATTCTGTAACCAAAAATAAAGTCATATAAAGTTAGAACTGAGTTTCCCTATATTATCATTTCAGTACATGATGTGCGCAGTGCGATGGTACTATGGGACTGGTCATTGCTGGCTAGATCGTGACCTTCACCCCGACAAGTCCACTCAGTTCCCTCTCCTGTGCAGTTGTGTCCCTGGGGCCTGAGTTAGAAGCAAAGAGAAAGCAGGAGCCATTCCCTTTCCAAGGAGCAAACTGGTAGAAGAAAGGTTTTTGTAGGTTCCTCCTGCAGAGTGACTGCCTGCAGGTCTGGAGCGGCGTAAAGGCAGCAGAGCTCTGCACATGGAAAAAGGTGTTTAGAAATCCCCCGGGAGCGGGGCAGAGCAGAGCGCTCAGCAGAGACCCTGCCAAGCCGTGACACGTGTAACCTTAACTCGGGATCTCTTATAGACAGAAACAATTCCACTAAATAATAATAATAATAAAAGAAAAAGCTCTTTAAACCTACATTCAAGGTTTTAAGAATATAATTAACTGACCAGAAAGCCCATGGTAATTGTTTTAATTAAATTCTGAAAGAAAAGGAGCAAGAGACAAAATGAGACCGTACCTGTTTTCTGTACTTGCAGCTCCCTTTTGGCTTGTTCGAGAATGGATTTGATGGCTTCATCAGAGCCAGTCTCTGTGGTTCGGATTCTTGTGGTTATATTACCTGAAGAGGAAAACAAAACTAATGACACGGGGAAAACCTTTGGTTGGTTGGTTGTTTTTTTAACACAAAGACAGACAGTATATACTGATGCACCGCCAGCACGACCTGACGACAGTTTACACAGGACCTTTACCAAGATTTACAACACTAAGAACATACTTAACATAGTAAAAGAAAAATATCCTCGTTGTGCAAAAGCCTGTCCACTACCTGCACTGGAACGATGAGAACGCTGACATTGTCAGAGGAAGAACTAGGTAGTCATATATTCTCTTTCCAGGATAACATATATAGGTCTATTCCTTTTTTTTTTTTTTTTTTTTTTTTTGGGAGGGGAAGAGGAAACAGAAGGGAAAAGAACCAGATGGGAAAGGAAGAAAGCTAAAAACATAAGATCAGGAATCAACTTAAATATTGCATCAGCTGCTAGGCAAAGGAGGATGAGTATACATTCAGCCCAAAACAGAATTAAAAAGTAACTAGATAAAAGTAATTTTTAACTTTCTAGAGGTTAATATATTAAGAGAAACAGTCATTTAAACGCAGATACCATTTGAAGTACTCTCCAGCTAAGAGCTATTACTTGGTTGTTTTGGTTTGCGTTTGTTTTGGTTTTTTTTTTTAACTACTAAGGGGAAGAAAAGGAGGGAAAACTAGGACTGTGAATGCTATTGCACTTAATCTTGTAATGAAAAATGCAGTTATCATTTGTAAGTGAGCTAGGTAATTTCCAAACAAAGTCAAAATAACTTAAAGAGTTTTGGGGTGCCTGCTTTTGCTTTTTCTTCTTGCTAAATGAAAAATTCTGCAACTAATCTATAATGAAGAACCATGTTCATACTTCCTGTTCAGCGATAATTTATCGACCTGATGCTCACTTATCTTCTTGTCTTTTTCACACACCATACTGAAGTAAGTATCACACTAATTTAACAGCATATTTGTCAACAGAAGCCCCACGAGAAGAAAGAAGTAAATCTAGAGCAGAGGCAGTATGGGATTGATGTCATAATTGTGCAACTTTCTCCCTCCAAAATCACAAAAATAGCAAAGAGAGCATTTCAATAGATCTGATGATTTTATAAAGCCACTTCGATCACTCATCTCTTTTTATCTGCGTACGCAGTGAGGTTAGGAGTGGAAAAAGTATCCAAACAGGGTTACGTTAGTACAGCAGCAGCAGAATTAGAAAAAAGCAAAGTGTTCGTCTAACCCATGGTTTGTTTTATACTTACTGTCTGTTTTTCTATCAGATTCCAGGCCAGAATCAAACTGCACAGTTTTAAGGAAACACACAGCTAAAGCACACTCCACTTCCTAGGTATTGACTGCAAAGAAAAACCCCTGCCTGTGACGTACCTTCAGACCCATTTCTTCGTTTCGGTACTTCCTGAAATAGTCTGTTCAGGTTCTGGCCTGGATTCTCTGTTGAAAAACAAGTTTGGTAAGAACAAAACAATCAGGGGATGGTTGCTCTGACATCATGGGCTGTGTGACATGAGAAGCTAGCAGCCTGTCTCTGAACGCGAGGGTTCGAGCTGTCCTCGCCCCCTCGAGCCTTTGTCTGAGTGCTGGAGGAGCCGGCTACTTTGGAAGAAGCAAGGCTGGCTGATTTGTTAATAAAGATTACAGCTACGTTCGGAAAGGAGATTAGACAGATATAAATAAATGTCTAGAGATACCAAAAATGAAGAGGTTAAAGATGGGCAGATAATCCCCTCAAGTACAATCATCAAAAGGAAGAACAGATTATAAATCTAACAGTGTGCGCTTTCAATTAAACAAAATCTAGGAAAATCCTGCCTGTCCCTTCCAGTATTTCTTGACTGTAAACAACTTACTTTTCAGTTTCTCTAAATGTAAATCTCAGTCTTTGCTTAAGATGAATCACAATGAAATGCATGCTATTTCTTAAAATCACCGCCTTAAATATGCAAAGCTGCTTTAAGTTAGGATTTTTTTTTTTTTAATTACTCATCTCATGCATCACCTACGGTATTTTGTCAAAACACTTTGGAAAAAAAGAAAAATCACACAAGACACAACGAAAGCCTAGTCTCAATAAATGACCCCAAATAAAAAATTTCAAGTGTTTCTGAGGGCTGATACCCTTGGTAGCTACTGACCCTTTTCACTCTGTATTTAGCTCCGACACGGAGCTATTGGGAAGTGAGGGCTGTAAGCGTCCCTGCTGCTTGCTCCCGCTGACAAACACAAGTCAGCGGCTAAAAAAAGCATAAGCAAAGATACTAACCTGCTCGAGCGCTGAAAAGCAGAGTTAGAAAGCTGTACTTTCTGTACCTGACGTCTGATTCGGGTGAAAACAGCAGCAACGCACAAACGGCCCCGTACAGGGAAGCTTCCAATTTTTAACATTTGTAACTAAGAGGAAAATAGGGTAAGACCCTCGGCCGGCGAGCGCTTACCTCTTTGTCTACCCTGGATGCTGCGAAGAGCCAAGATGTTCTGCTCGTCCGAGAGGAACTGCTTCATCTTATGAAATGGCTCCTTGCCTCTCACAGTCAGTTTATTCCATGGCTTTGGCCGGGCTAGTATCTCACTCACAGACCCTTGCGACAGTCCCAACACATAATGTCCAAATATCCGCTGTCCAATATTGTGCTTGATCAACTGCTCTTTCACCTGACGTGCAATTTCGGCTGTGTCTATCTCCTCGCCTTCAGAGATGCTCCCAGCACTTTCTGACTGGCTGGGAGACGGGGCCATGCCATTTACGTCCGGACTTTGTTGTAATGGACTTTGGGAAGATATGGAGTTTGTGCTGTAAGGACCTGTTGAAAAAATCATGCTTGTGCTTCCTGCTTCCTGCATTGCCTTGGAGTAGAAGGACTGCATTAGCTGTCGCTGGAGGAGAGAGTTTAGTGCAAATTTTCCTGTGGAGGCCAGGGGTAAGCTGGGGCTCGCCAGGGATGAGCTGAAAAAGTCTTGACTTAAACCCGTTGGTGAGAACTGGTGTGTACCATTAGTATTGGAAGCCTGCTCCCCCGCGTTGCGGAGCAACTGAGAAGGAGGGGAGGCCGGCAAGGTTGCAGGACGCTGACTCTCAGGCTGGTCTTTCCCTTTTCTCCTGGCTGACCCTACAAGGAAGGTCAAACATAATGCATTATGGGGGATCAAAGAGGGAAAAACCAAGATAAAAAAATGCAAAGTTTGCCCCGCAAAGGGAAAAAGTGCAGATTTACAAGGGCCAATGAAGGTGGGATTTTTGTTTTCGTTTTGGTTTTGGGTTGTTTTCTTTTTTTTTTTTTTTTTCCATATTTGAAATTTTAATAAGCCAAACAAGGCCCCCAAAACAAACAACATGCATTTCATGTTTGCACCTTTCTTGTATGTTGCAGCCTGGAGAATCCCCCTTACAGACATTAAAACTAGAACAATTACATGAAGTGCAGTTATACATTTAAAATAAATGCAGTTACAGACAGCAAGTCTCTTTGTTGTCTCTCATTCAAGACATTACTCATTGGACCTGACTGAACCCAAATGCAGCAAACATTTACATTTTGGAACAAACCAATTTGAATAAAGGAATCACCCTTAGGTGGATGCACCAAGATCACTCAGTTAAAGTCATAAAACCCTTCAGAATTCAGTAATCCCAGGGCCAGTGGCAACTTTTAACTTTCTTCCAGCTGCAAAAACCATAAGCATCCAAGTATCTGGAAATTCCATGACTTGCCATTTAAAAAATGTGCACACAAGATGTAAAAAGCCCACATTAGGAAAGCTAAACGGCAAACACGCTTCGCTAAAAAGAAAGTATTTTGTTGTTCCAAGCTGACCTGCTGGTAGTATATCTAAGTGTATCAGACAGGAAGATTATTGTGTTCTACATGCAAACATTTTGCATAACACTGTGTGGGGGGGAAGAGACTTCTGGTGCCATGGATGAATTTGTTCCCAAAACAGAAGACGGCCTCAAACGCTACCACTTGGTACGTCTCGTAATGCCTCTCCTTCCTAACCTTTAAAGACTCTCTGAGGTCTCCAAGTTTTATTTTATTATCCAGCCTATAAAACTGCAGAAATCAAACATTATTCAGTGTTCCTGTTGCCTGTTAATCTTTCTGCCATGCATTAGCTCAGACATTCATCTCTCACTCAGCCCTCCCACCCTTTACGAGACAGCAAACAAACCAGAATAGCCGAAAATCGCGTCAACCTACCACTCAGGTCACTATTTGTGATACGCAGCGTGGCGTTTTCGGACTGCAAGGAGCGGTTCTTCTCCAGCAGCAGCACCTCCAGCGGTTTAGATGCATCCTAAAGAAAATCAAAGTGGGAGGTTTGTTTCTAAAAGCATTAAGTGTCTCACTCAGGCACTAAAAAGGATTTCCAAAGAAGAAAACAAGTGCTCATCTCTGCTGTGAACGCAGTCAGGGAATTCACCATGCATATATTTGCAGGAATCACTCAGTGCTCCTATGTGAGCCATAGAAGAGATCCACTGTTTAATTTTCATTGTAAATCATTCATCAATTCTCCATTATTTTGAAATGTGTAACGGAACATTGTCTTAATCCTTCTTATTTTCAAATGGTACTGGCAAGCTTTCAATTTAAAAGCTGGAGACTTCTTTTAATCTGATTAAAATAGGAGTTAAGATTATATTATTTCTTCTAGGTCAACTGACCCAAGTTAAGCATTTCCTTGAAATGCTGCATTTCAGCATAAACAGTTTCTTAAAAAATAAAATCAGTCACAGAAATCTGCCATTTACCTTCCACTAAATATCTAACCCTTGACCATAAGAAAACACATCGAAAATTAACCCCAGTATATTGATATTCAGTTCAGATTTCAGAAGCAGGACTTTAATTCATAACCTTCAAACCAAAGTTTGCTGGAATAGCAGAGATTTCTCCTGCTCTCTTAGTGCTCAAAGGTTTGTTTTCTTTTCTGAACATTATTTTCAAGGCTAACAAAGACTTAAAAATGCTAAAATCCTTGCTCAGCGTACTGTCAGTACAAGAAACATGCAAATCTCAGCGTAGCTGTACGGTGACTTTAAAAGACTCCATTCACAACATTAGGGCTATCCACTCCAGCACAGCTGAAACGTCATTCTTCGCCCTTGACCACTTAAAAGAAATTAACAGGCAAAAAATGTTCGGTTCAGCTTTTTACTGAAGAAAACATCGGGAAAACAATGATCAGCCCATATGTCTCAACATCAACAGGAAATTGTCCATGCCAACACCAACGAATTGCAAGACAAAATTTCTGTTCATTAACTGAACTGCCAAAGTAAGTAAGAAAACAAAAGTAGGTTCAGTACCTGCGCACCAGAGCTTTCAGATGGTGCAAACTCCATGGATTTCAATATACTGTGGAAGGCAGAAAAAAAATTATTTTCTATTTCTTCTTTTCATAACAACTGCACTAATGAGCATTAACATTATCATTTCCTACTCTCCAGCAACACTACAAGTGATAACAACTTTCCTTGCAGTAACACAGCCTCATAATGAATATAGAATAACTATTCAAACTAGTTATTGGATAAGAAAATTTTCTCGAGCGTCATCTAAATCATTCCATATGCAATCCCACCAGGCCAGTTTAAAGCGTAAATTTAAAGGTTAATAAGGATATAACATTTTAAGCTGTCAGAAGCAATATAAATTTATCTGTGAAGCTTGAAGGGAATGAAAAACTTGTAGCAAAGCAACAAAACAGGGGAATCACCACCACAGTTACAGTACTTAATCTAATATACACCAGCTCACATATCAAGGAAAGTATGCACAAATAATCTTCCCGACCAAGACACTACAGGCTAAAAGGCAGTTTATCATTTTAATAACCTCCTAGTTCTATGGCAAAGGGAAGACACAATGGCACAATATTTCTTAGGAAATATGAAAGATCCAAATATTTATAAGTACGTTAGGAGAAGAATCTGATAGTCTCATTGTCAATATTTTATATAAATACTGCGCGGTCAAAGGACGTCTCCCTTCGAAGTCTTTCAGTTAGAGTTGTATTGTCTGGCAAACCAGAATCTTACTGGAATACAAACTTATTATTGTGCTTTCTCTTATAAATTTTGTTTAAATAGCCCTGCCGCAGGCAGGACGTTAAGTTCCTAAGACCGAAGCAATACATGATTTTAGCTTCTCATTGTACAAAGACGACATTCATTTGTTGAAGAAAAATACATAAGCAGATATAGATAGTGTTTACACTGCATTTTTCATGCATAAAGCATCAGGAACTCTGTGAGGCAGGGAGAATATGTTTAAGCATGTATTAAATGTGGAAACTGAGTCAAAAAAGGCAGAAGGCCAGTATTAAGATGTAGGGACTAGTTCTGGATGTCAGCAGGAGCCAGCCAGGCACCCAGTACTCGTTAACTGCTGCAGACCATGTGGCGTCCAGCTCCTCTATAAATCTGTCTGTGTGTTAATCCAGATTTAGATGTCCATTAAGTGACACTCCGGAAATCAGTGGTCTCAGTGACTCATTCAAGATCACACAAAATCATAGCAAATCCAAGGCGGGGGGGGGGGGGAGGAAGTCATTCTGAGACAGAAACCTCACGCATTTTGTATCTGGGCATACTCATTACATACAGTGTTAAATCTGACAGGCTCTCCTACCAATATAATAATTAATAAAATCACAAAATTCTGGCGATCGGTTTCATCATATGGCATCACTGGATGACATCTCCTGCCAGCAATCACTGCAGGGCAGAGCACTACACAATACACAAGCACATAAAGTAATGCTGTCAAGGCTCTGCTTTACGTGGGCACAACAGCTCACCCACGTGCACAAGTGCCTCTCTCCTGCTATTAACGGAGTCGTGCCAGTCAAGGAGAGAGGTTGTGCATTAATGGCTCGAGTTCTTAGAGATCCTGACATTATATTGACATCACAGGGATGTTCACTCAGGTTGCTAATCACTGCTGGAAGCAAGTGTTCCCCAGGACACCTCTGCAGAGGCACCGCTCTGCCTACCAGGACTCCACAGTGCTGGGGGAGATAAATACACAGAGACTCATCTAGGGCAAACCCCAGTCCCTGGAGGGTGCCTGGTTTTGTCCTCCCGTGGATTCTGCAGGGTATGGCCTCTGGAAGGACAGCAAGTAGTAATGTATGTCCTCGTAATGGTCAAATAAGGAGACCCATCCGAATTTTAAAAAAACCACAATTTCTAACAGCAAATTATCACGTGGCAAATTTCCAACGGCAACTCAAAGGTGTTTCTCCCATTTCCGTTCAGATCAGCAGTACACTTGCAACACAGGTCTCCCAGTCATCCCCACTTACCACACACTGGTTTGCCACGCAGAGCGGTCCTGGAGCATACCAACCGGGTTCCTTCTGGATGAGACTAAACCAAGAGAAGCTGCCCGCTCTCGGAGGAGCACGCGCGACACACTCTGACCACTAACGTGCTGCCTATAGAACCAGACTGAAACCAGTCGGTAGTGCACGCCAAGCCTGATTTAGTGTGTACATCTGGTTCTCAGCACCAAAAGCCTGGCTTTAAAGCCTTGGTCCTGCTGTGCCCTGCCACTCGCGCAGGCTGCTCTACCAACGCGTGTCGGATCCGAGCTCCTGCTGCCAGCTGGGAGCAGAAAGGATCCTAAACTTTGCAGCGGCTTTTTTCAGTGAGTTTGGTGCAGTCGTGCGTATTCAAACCTCGGCTGGAAACTTACTGACCTCTGCCTATTTAAAGTGGATTCTTTGCTACCTGAAATAGCCTTCTAGCAATTTCACAGGTAATTTCCTATACATTTAGAACCCAAAATATACTAAAAAACAGGTTGATGGTATCTGGAATTGCCCTTAGAGGGATATTCACTACAGCAGGTTCGTTTTATCAAAAAAATATAAAAGTTAAACATGTCAAAAATGACTCTCCAAATGTGTCACAAGAGAGACATTTTCCTCGGGAGTATGAGGAAGCAAAATGTTTCCCCTTTGGATTCCAGGAATATCAGTCCATGAGACCTCGAAACAATCTGCTGCTCAAGATCACTTATCTGCTTTTTAAAGGAATGATCTTGTAACATGAATCTGCACATCTAAGACGACTTGAAAGATTTTACTCTAAAGCAAATTGTGTATTGGGACAGTTCGACTTTCTGTTCGTATGATGCCGAATGCAAAGGCAGGAGGGTTAGCACTGTCGTATTACTCGAGAGGGAACTGAAAGGACACCCAGAGCTCTCAGACCTCAAAAATAGGTTTAAAAACCATTTGGCACAAAAAATATTGCAGAAAGCAAGGAATTCTCCCATCCCAGATCTTGACATGGACCCAGTTAAGTTCTCCAAGGTTACGAGTTGGCTGATACTGAGATTCCTCAGCCTAGAATGCCTCTAACATCCTTGGGAGGATTAAGGAAAACACACCAGTGCCAAAACAACTGAGAAATTTATTCTCTTTCTTCCTTACTGACAAGGTATCTTTTTCTTGGGGTGTATGTGTGTTATGAGCAGCTCATTTTTGCTGGTGTCACAGGGCACAAAGGCAGGCATAGTAGGATTCAGCAGGGGGGATAACAGA